TGGAAAAAATTTTTTTTTTTTTTTAAAATATTTTTTTAGGGAAACCGGGGGGGGGTGTTTTTAAAATTAAGTTATTTTTTTTTTTTGGGTTTTTTTTAAATTAATTTTTTTATTTTATTGTTAAGGTTTTTAATTTTTTTTTGAAAGGGGGGGGTTTTGTGGGGGTTTTAATTTTTATGTTGTTTTTAAAAATTTTAATTTTTTTAATTTTTTGGGTGGGGTTTTGGGTTTTTTTTTAAAGGGCGGGGGGCGGTTTTTTTTATTGAGGGGGGAAAAATTTTTGAATTTTTTTATTTTTTTTTGATTTTTTTGGGGCCTTTTTTTTTTTTGTTTATTTGGGATTTAAAGGTTTTTGGGGTTTTTTTTTTTAAGGGGTTAAGGGGGGGGGTTTAATTTGTATGGTAAATGTTGGGGTTTTGGTTTGGGTTTTAAAAAGGGTGTTGGTTTGGAAATTTAAGGGTTTTGGTTTTAAAGGGGGGGAAATTGGGGGGTTTTTTTTTTGGGTTGGGGGTTTTAAAGGGGGTTTGGGGTTTTTTTTTTTTGGGGGTTTGATTTTTTTTTTAAATTTGGGTTTTTTATTTTAATTTGATGTTTTTAAGGGAATGGGGGGTTTTTTATTTTTTTTTTTTTTTGGGGGGAAAAAGGGTTTTTTTTGGTTTGGGGGGTTTAAAAAATTTGGTTTTGGGAGGTTTTTTGTTTTTTTTTTTTTTTTGGGTTTTGGGGTTTTTTTATAATTTTTAAAAATTTTTTTGGGGGGGTTTGGGTTTTTTTAATTTGGGGGGTTTTAAAAGGTTTTTGGGAAGGGGGGGGTTTTTTTTTTTGGGGGTGTTTTTAAGGGAATTAATTTTTTTTTTTTTAAATATTTTTGGGGTTAATTTTTATTTTTTTTTTTTTTTTTTAATTTTTTTTGGGGTTTTGGGGTTTTTTTTTTTTTAAAATTTCAATTTTTTTTTGGGGATTTTTTTTGGGCGGGAAACTTTAATGGATTTTGTTTTTTTTTTTTTTTTTTTTTTTAAAATTTAATTTTTTTTTTTTTAAAAATTTTTTAAAGGAATTTAAGGTTTTCCCGGGGTTTTTAAGGGTTTGGGGTTTTTTTAAAATTAAAGGGTTTTTTTTATTTTTAAAGGGGAGTGAAGGGTTAAAGGGGTTCCCTGGACGGGTAAGTGATTGTGTTAAGGAACTTGAAGTTTCCTGGTACTGTAAGTGACTGGGGTTAAAGGAACTTGAAGGTTCCGGGTACTGTAAGGGGAATGTTTTTAAGGGAACCTTAAAGGGTTTCCTTTTACTGTAAGTGACTGTGTTTAAGGTTTTTTTGAAGGTTCCTGGGTACTGAAAGGGGACGGGTTTTAAAGGGGAAACCTTTTGAAGGTTCCTGGTACGGTAAGGGGACGTTTTTAAGGAACTTTAAAGGTTTCCGGGTTTTACGGGTAAGTGACTGTTTTAAAGGGAAATTTTTGGGAAGGTTCCGGGTTTATGTAAGTGGACTGTGAAAAGGAAACCCTTAAAAGGTTTGGTTCGGGAAGTGACTGTGTTAAGGAACTTTAAAAATTTTCCCTGGTACTGAAAAGTGACTGTTTTAAAGGGAACCTTTGTGGTTCCTGGTACTGTAAGTGACTGTTTTTAAAGGAAAATTTTGAAGGTTCCTGGAAATGTAAGGGGACTGTGTTAAGGAATTTTAAAGGGTTTCCCTTTGGTACTGAAAGTGCTGTGTTAAGAACTTTGAAGGTTCCTGGTACTTTTAAGTGACGGTTTTAAAGGAAAACCTTTTAAGGTTCCTGGTACTGTAAGTGACTGTGTTAAAAAACTTTAAAGGGTTTCCCGGGTCGGTAAGGGGGACTGTTTTAAAGGGGAACCTTAAAGGGTTCCTGGTACTGTAAGTGAGTTTTAAAAGGAAACCCTTGAAGGTTCGGTACTGTAAGTTGACGGTGTTTTAAGGGAAACCCTTAAAAGGTTCCTGGAAACTGTAAGGGGACGGGTGTTAAGGAACCTTAAAAGGTTCCTGGGTACGGGAAAAGTGCTGTGTTTAAGGGAAAACCCTTTGGGAAGGTTTTGGGTATTTGTAAGTGACTGGGGTTAAAGGGGAACCCTTTAAAGGGGTTCCTGGTAGGGAAAAGTGACTGGTTAAGGAACTTTATTTTTCACAGCGGTTTTGGGCGGCTAGTTGTAACATAGGGTTCTTTCATATAAACATTAGGGCAAAAAAGAAAAAAAAAGGGAAAAACCGCCGTGGGGGTTTATCGGGTGTTTTCGGGGTCATTGTTAGGGCCCGTTTGGGTATATTAGAAAATTTCACACACTACTACTCTGTCCGGGCCCAGTGTGGGGGGGGAAAATACATACATTTTTGTGCATGCCCCCTGTCCCTCAGTGCACTGATGGAAAAAATACATGTAGTGCATGACCCTGTCCCGTGGGGTACTAGACTGGAAAAAAAAATACATGTAGTGCATGACCCTGAAACCTCTTTTGCATAAAATTTGGGAATCTTTCATTTTTTATTTTGGAGGGACCCTGTCCCTGTGTGCACTAGACGGGAAATTACAAAATGTGGGTGCTTTGCCCCCCTGTACCTCGGGACTAGACTGGAATACTACATGTAGTGCTTGCCCCTTTTCCTCTGGCATTTGGAGGGAAAATACATACATGTAGTGCATGCCCCTGTCCCTCTGTCCCTTAGACCGGGAATACATACATGTATTTGCATGCCCCCTTGGTCCCTCAGTGCACTAGACGGGAATACTTTAACATGTGGTGCAGGGCCCCCTTTTACCTAGTGCACTAGACGGAATACATACTGTAGTGCATGCCCCCCTGTACCTCAGTCCCATTTAGAGGGGGAAATTTCTACATGTAGTGCTTTGCCCCCTGTCCTCTGTGAAACGACGGGAAATTTCATACATGAGTGCATGACCCTGTACCTCTGTGCCTAGATTTGGAATAAACAGGGAGTGCATGACCCCTGTACCTCAGTGCACTGGACTGGTTTTCATCATGTAGTGCAGGCCCCTTTTACCTCTGTGCACTAGACTGGAATCCATCATGATTTGCATGCCCCTTTTCCTTTCTGTGCATTTGGACGGAATACATACATGTAGGGAATGACCCCTGTACCTCATTGCACTGGGAGGGAAAATACAACGGGTGTGAAATGACCCCTTTTAACCTCAGTGCCCCAGAGGGAAAATACATACATGTAGTGCAGGGGCCCCTGTACCTCATTTGCCCCAAAGGACTGGAATACTACATGAGTGTTGCCCCCTTTTTCCCTCTTTTTGCACTAGACTGGAATACAACATGTAGTGCTTGCCCCCTGTACCTCTGTGCACTAAAGGAAAATTACATGTAGTGCTTCCCCCTGTACCTCAGTGCTAACGGGAAATTTACTACATGTATTTTCCCATGACCCTGTATTTTCAGGGCACTGGCGGGAAATACATACATGTAGTCCCCTCCCCCTGTCCCTCTGGGCACTAGAGGGAAATCATACATTTTGGCATGACCCCTTTTAACCTCAGTGCACTGGGACTGAAATAAAACATGTAGTGCAGGGCCCCTGTACCTCAGGGCACTAGATGGAATACTTACATGTAGTGCATGCCCCCCTTGAAACCCCAGTGCCCCTAGATGGAAACAAAAAAGGGTAGTGCATGCCCCCTGTACCTTTTTCCCTAGACTGGAAATAATACTTGTAGTGGTGACCCCTTTTCCCCTTTGTGCGCTAGGACGGGAATTTACATCCATGTAGTGCATGACCCCTTTTACCTCTGTCACTAGACGGGAATACATACATTTTGGGGCATGCCCCCTGTACCTCTGTGTACTAGATGGAATCCTACATGAGTGTTGGGACCCCTGTCCCTTGTGCATAGACTGGAATACATACAGTAGTGTTTTGCCCCTTTTGTACCTCGGTGGCTAGACTGGAATAAAACCCATGTGTGCTTAAACCCTGTCCCTTCAGTGCACTAGACTGGAATACAAAATTTGTGGGTTGAAATGCCCCTGTCCCTCTTTTGACTGGGACGGGGGAATTTAAATACTGTGGGTCATGCCCCTGTACCCTTGTGCATGGACGGGGAAAATAATACATACTTTTGTGTCCCAGGGCCCCCTGTACCTCGTGAACTAGACGGGGTTATTATTATAATAAAAGGGGGAAAAGCGCAAAAACCCCGTAGGATTATACAGCCCCGGGGGGGGGGTGGAAGGAAATTCAGGCTTAATTCGGGGAACGGGAAAAGGCACGGGTTCCCAATTCCCTAAATAAAGACCCCGTCACCAACATAAAGGGGAAACCTTCCATGGGGGAGGCATAGACGGGAATAAAAATACATTGGGTGCTCCCCCCTGTACCTCAGTGCATTTAGATGGAATATTTGCAGGTGTGGCAAAAAATGTTTATTTTAGCTAATAATTCTTTAAATACTAAAGGTTTGAAGGGCTTAAAAAGAAAACGTTTTAATTCCATCTAGTAATCATACCCAAAATTTTTTTAAAAAAAAATTTTTAAGTTTGTATTAAAAACCCATCCCAAATTATTTCAATTTTTCCAAGAGAGGATGAGAGAAAATATCCTAAAAACATAAAAACCATTAATTTTAAAGACACCCAGAGGGTTGCATTATTAAGTTACCCAACTTTAAAGGGGGGTTTGAAAGTAATCGTTACAAGACTAAAAAAAATTATCCCCTAAAAAAAAAAGTTTAAATTTTTTTTTTTTTCAAATTTCTTCCTTAAAAAAGAGCGTTTGGGAAACTTACAACAAGTCTTAATAAATTTCAATCCTTCTGTTACGTAAGACTCACCAACCTTTAATTAATTAAGTAGGTAAATAAGTCAGTAGGAAAGTAATTAAGATTTATTTAAGATTTTGGTTGCATAAAATTTTTCTCGATGGTCTCTGAGATGTTATAGGATCACTAAAGCACAGTAGGTTGATATAAATTAAGACAACCTGACATATCAATGATAAAACTAATACATTGTCTTCCCACACACAGGACGTGCTTGTGCCTGCTCTTCTGAATCGTGCTGGCGTGGTCACCGTGTGTCCCGGTGGAGGCGAGGCGTGGCTGGGACATGATGCTCTACACGCCCTCTACACTGCCCTGGCTACCACCTCCTATACAGTTCTTTGGCGAGCACCTTACCCACACCTCCTGCCCAATGTGACACAAGACGAAGGTTCAAACACTGCCTCCAGACCCAAGTTTGTCTTCAAGGAAACACTTCCTCTCACTGATGTTATGAGTATGTTAATAATTATTATTGTCTTTCTTAGTGTTTTATTTTTCAATGCACCTTCCGTCTCCCACCGAGGCAGGGGTGACCTAAGAAGAAAAAACAAAGTTTTTTCTTTATATATAGTAATTTATACAGGAGAAGGGGTTACTGGCCCCATGCTTCTGGCATTTTTGTTGCTTATGACACATGACTCACAGAGGAAGGAGATTCTTTTTCACTTTCCCATGGAGATGAAAGGAAAAAATAATAACAAGAACTATTAAGAAAACAGAATGAAAACAAATAGTGTGACCTAAGTGTAAGAAGAAGTAGCAATATGTACCTTTTATCTTGTATGTTTGCCATACAAAAAAAAAAATGACAATAGCAATCCCATTCATCTATTTGTACTGTGGAATGCAAAGTGTATGTTATTTATTCTGCATATGTACATACTCCTATAAAGGCTGCCTCCCAACCAGTGAACCGGGTACTAAGGGTTTGATGATTATTAGGGTACCTATCATTAAATAAGTACCTTGGTTCATTGTCCAATGACAGACGAGCACACCAAGTGATGAGGTGATGTGGTTCACTTGTGGTCAGCATTTGCCAGACTTGTGTATCAGCTGGTTGAGTATGGTGGTCTCTCTCTCTGGATTTTGCTTTTGCCAGTCTGTCACCATCATGTGGTACGCTTACTATTCAATCTCTATACGTACATAGTGTACATAAGTGTACATACTTGTATATGCAAGACAAGCTTTCGTACTGAGTGATTTTCGTGAGCAAGTTCGGTACTAGTCCCTCTAGGATTTTCCAGGTGTATATAATCATGTACCTCTCCCGCCTGCGTTCCAGCGAATACAGGTTTAGGAACCTCAAGCGCTCCCAGTAATTGAGGTGTTTTATCTCCGTTTATCGTAGGGGTTCTTAAATGGAGATATCGAGGGTTGAAGGTAGACTCACTTGTTGGATGGTTACGATATATTGTCAGACTGAGATGATGGGAACTGGAGCCCAGTGCCTTGCCTGTCTTCGCCTGGGTGTCTACGCCGAGTGAGACCGGGGCAGAGGTACGAGCGTACACATGCGCATCCCGTGACGTCACACAAAGTCCCAGGCCTACAAGGGATCTCCTATCTAAAGCACATGGATGAAACTAATATGCTATGCTATATAACACAGGGATCAGCAAATATGCTGACACGTTATGCGCGCCGTGAAGGTTCTCTGTACATTTTCTAGGTCAGCAATTTCACCTGCCTTGAAAGGTGCTGTTAGTGTCAAGCAATATTCCAGCCTAGATAGAACAAGTGACCTGAAGAGTGTCATCATGGGCTTGGCCTCCCTAGTTTTGAAGGTTCTCATTATCCATCCTGTCATTTTTCTAGCAGATGCGATTGATACAATGTTATGGTCCTTGAAGGTGAGATCCTCCGACATGATCACTCCCAGGTCTTTGGACGTTGGTGTTTCGCTCTATTTTGTGGGCCCAAAAATTTTTTTTGTACTCTGATGAAGATTTTTAAATTTTCCTCGTGTTTACCAATTTTGAGTAATTGAAATTTCTCATCGTTGAACTTCATATTGTTTTCTGCAGCCCACTGTAAGATTTGGTTGATGTCACCTGGAGCCTTGCAGTGTCTGCAATGGAAGACACTGTCATGCAGATTGGGTGTCATCTGCAAAGGAAGACACGGTGCTGTGGCTGACATCCCTTGTCTATGTCAGATATGAGGATGAGGAACAAGATGGGAGTGAGTACTGTGCCTTGTGGAACAGAGCTTTTCACCGTAGCTACCTCGACTTTACTCTGTTGACGACTATTCTCTGTTGTTCTGTTAGTGAGGAAATTATAGATTCATCGACCGACTTTTCCTGTTATTTCTTTAGCACGCATTTTGTTGTGTATTACGCCATGGTCACAAATTGTCGAAGGCTTTTGCAAAGTCTGTATATATTACATCTACATTCTTTTTGTCTTTTAGTGCATTTAGGACCTTTTCGTAGTGATCCAATAGTTGAGACAGACAGGAGGACATGTTTAAACCCATGTTGCCCTGGGTTGTGTAAACTGATGGGTTTCTAGATGGGTGGTGATCTTGCTTCTTAGGACCCTTTCAAAGATTTTTATGATATGGGATGTTTTGTGCTATCGGTCTGTAGTTCTTTGCTGTTGCTTTACTGCCCCCTTTGTGGAGTGGGGCTATGTCTGTTGTTTTTAGTAACTGTGGACGACCCCGTGTCCATGCTCCCTCTCCATAGGATGGAAAAGGCTCGTGATGGGGGTTCTTTCAGTTTTGATGAACACGGAGTTTCCATGGGTCTGGCCCTGGGTCAGGGGTGCATGGGCATGTCATTTTTCGCTTTTGAATCATTTTTGGGATCAGGATAAATCGGTTAGGCTTGTGTAACCAAATCTGTGGCTCTCTATAAAAATTCATTTTGATTCGACTCTCGTCGGGTTGCGGCTTGCTAAAAACTGAGTCATATTGGGCTTGAGTAGCTCATCTTTTCCCTTTGCTATCATTATGTAGGACCCATCTTGTTTAAGTAGTGGGCCCAATAGGACGTTTTTCTCGATTTAAAATTTGGCTTTGGGAGAAAAAATACTTTGGGTTTCTTTCGATTTCATTTATGGCTTTTAGTTCTTCCGCGATTCCTGATCCTATAGATTCCTTAGCTTAATTCGATGCTTGCTATTTCTGACCGTGTCTCCCTAGCATTTCAATATATTGACCTCTTTTTAGCCGCTCTTTTTATTCTTTTCGTCCCTGTAAGGGAGCGCATCTCTTTCTATTTTACATCTACCCCTTCTTTTTCTAGAGGAATAAGCCTGTGCATACATCGTGTGCCACATTAATCTGTTCTGGGTTTTAGTTGGGGTCTGTTTGTAGTATATCTTCCACTTTATCGTTAGGACACTTTATGGCAATTCAGGTGTCAGATACAGGATGAGGAATAGGATGGGAGGGAATTGCTTGTGGAACAGAGTTTTTCACCATACTGCCTCGGACTTTACTCTTTTTTACTATTATTTTTGTTTTCCCTATTTGTCGGAACTTAAAGGCCCATCTTCCCCTTTTCCTGTTTTCTTCATCACACATTTTATCGCTATTACACAGTAGTCACACTTATCAAAGGCTTTTGCAAAGTCTGTTAATCCTCTAACTCCGACCTTTCTAAAATTGGCCAGTACCTGTAAGGCAGAGTAACCTGTCTAAACCCGTTTTTTTGCCCTGGGTTGTGTAATATGGGGTCTGGGTGGTTGGCGTTTTACTTCTTAGAACCTTTTCAAAGATTTTTATGTTATGGGATGTTAGTACTATCGGTTTGTAGTTGTTTGCAATTGCTTTACTGCCCTCTTTGTAAAATGGGGGGTATGTCTGTTGTTTTAATGTGTGGGGGATGACCCCTGTGTCTATGATCCCTCTCCACAGAATGCTGAAGGAAAAGTGAAGGGGTTTCATGGAGTTGTATAAGTCTGGGCCTGGGGCAGAGTGCATGGATATGTCATTTATTGCCTTTTCAAACTCTTGTGGTGTTAAGATAATATCAGAGATTTTTGAGATGACCAAATTTATTGTCTATTTCATATAGAATTCGTCTGGACTGTCAACTCTTAGTCTAGGTAACGGCTCGCTGAACACTGAGTCATATCCGCCTAACCAGGGACCCAATACTGGATGTTGTTTTTCCCTTAGATTTGGCATAAGAGAAGTATTTTTTTTTTAATTTCCCTTATGGCTTTTAGTTCTTCTTGCGATTCTTATCTCCTTTAAGAATCCTTCAGCTTAAGTTCGATATCTGCTATTTCATTAACCAGTGCCTCTCATCATATTTCAGATATATTGGCCCCTCTCAGCAGCTCTGTGATTCTTAACCTTCGTCTGTATAGTGACCGTCTCTTTCTAATTTTTTTCTTCTCTTTCTTTTTCGTAATGGAATGCGTCTTGAGCTGATCTCAAGAACCACAGAGTTTATTTTTTCTAAGCAAAGGTTTGGATCCGGGTTGTTTAGGATATCTTCCCAGTTTGTTTAATTTAGTACATGGCTGATTTGTTTCCATTTGTTGTGTTTGTTATTGAAGATGAATTTTGCGAAGACACCCTCATGACTGATCACATTTTGCTGATCAGGAGCCCTGTTCATTCATGTCTGTACCATTGTTATGTAGTGATTTGAGTGTATTGTCTTTGACTAACAGAATCAGAGTAAAGTGCAGATAATACCCATAGTCCACCGTTAGTGTTATATTGTCATAAATTCGTGCCCCCCTAAAATTCTAATACCCCAACTACTTTTGATTGTCATTGTTGTATTCAACGACCATTCTACCTCATAGTCTTAATTGTATTTAATATCTACAGAATCTATCTCCTTTTTTACAACTTACCACATCACTGTTCCATGTTATTTTTTATAAACTAACCATAACTTGTCTTCAATAATTCTACCTCACTTTATAAAATACTCAATTGCCCAATTTTATTCTAAATCCCTATTATTGCCCCAATTTTACTTTAAACTATATTGATCAAACTTATTGTAAACTTCTTTTATTGACCATTTTTATTCCATACTTTTTTTAAACCCAGTATTTTCAATACAACTTTTATATTCACATTGTCTACCATCTTACTAGATATTATTAACCAAGTCATTGCCATTTTATTTTTATCATTTTTTTTATTATTATTTTGCTACCTTAATTTGTGTATTTTATCCTGTCAATTAAAATCTAATTATACTCTAATTTTGTAAACAACTTATATAAGACCTTAGTGCAATTACAATTGAGAGTCTTGTTCCTTTATTATATTATTAGATTAATCACAGTTTTACTCTAGTCTTCTAGCTCAATACATAGTCAATACCAAATTCACTATACTAGACCCTAGTGCAATTACTAGTGAGAGACTGGTGCTATTTGTAATTTGTATTTTTATATTATTAGACTAAACCTAGTTATACTATAGCTCTTTCTAGCTCAATACATAGTCAATTCCAAATTCACTAAATTA